TGCGTCCTCAAAGTGTCCGCGAAGCAACTCGCGGGCGTTTTGCAAGCACTTTAGAGCCCCTAAGATTGCAGGCCCTACGGCCTCCAGCCCTCAAAATTGACAGACCCTCAAACGACAGAATTCTGGCCTAGGTCCTGAAACAAGGCCTGTAGCTATCACAGAGTGGGAGCTGACAACACCTGCCACAGAGAGAGCTTATGGTGTGCTGGAATCGCCAAAGCAGGGGGCGTGTTGAACATGTATGAGGAGTCGGAATCGCCAAAACAGGGGGCGTGTTTACAATATATGGTGAACCAGAACCGTCAAGTGTAATGAAGGGGCGTGTCTAAGACACATGATGAACGGTGTAGCCGATATCGCCAAATGGGGAGGCGTGTTTACCATATTATGTGATGAACCGTTATCGCCAAATGAGGGGGCGTGTTTAACATGTATCACGAGACGATATCGCCAAATGATGGGGCGTGTTTAAGATATGTGATGAACCGTTGTCGCCAAATGAAGGGGGCATGTTCGGGGTATATGGCGCGCCGCTATCGCCAAATGAGACGCCTGGTGAAGATATGTGGTGAACCGGACTCGCCAAATGAGGGCACGTGTTTGAGACATACGGCGAACCGGAGTCCGGCGTGGCTGTTGTTTTTCTGTGTGTGTGTGAAAAGAACTTTCAAAAGCAAGGAAAAACGGGCGGGAGTCGCAGATGACAAGTGCTCGTTCGACAGCAATTCTTACATGTGTATATATAAATATATACACCGAAGAACAAAGAAAAAGACACAGATCCACACAAACGAAAAACACAATCCATGTGTTTTGAAGCCAGGACAGAGGATTGAAGATGCACATGAAACGGAAAATGCAGGCGTTGTACAGGAAAAGGCAAAGAAAAAGGCACAGATCGACTCCAAACAAAAGCCACAGATCGACAGGAACGGAAAGGCACAGGCCTACACGAAAAAAAAGAATCAGTTTCGCTCCAAGCTGATTATAGAAAAGGCTGAGGTACGTTCTTGGCAGCATTTTGTGGATGCACCGTGTTTGTGTAGACATCTTGAAGCAGCATGTTCCGTGTCTGATCAAACCGCATCGGAAAGTTTTTTCCATCGTATATTTTTGCAAAGCATTCCTTTCAGTCTTTTGACTTGTCACGCGGCGATGCATGGGCAACGGAAACTTTTCTTGGCTCAAAGCACTTCATTTTGCCAGCTTTTTTTCTTTGCCTGCGCCGGGCTGAGCCGGAACAGCAGCTACTTCTGCTGCCGCTGCTGCTGTTGCTGTTGTTGTTGTTGCTACACTGGGTAAGTGGTAAGCATCAAAGCATGTGAGGCGAATTCATTCCCTGTCGGCGGCTTGGTTCTGGGAGCTGTTCGCAGAAGGAACTCAAGGAAATCATGGCGAGGCAGACCGAGAACGTCGCGGCCGTGAAGCAGGACATAGCGAACTTAAAGGAAGCAGTGCTGGAACAGAACCAGCTCACAGCCCTCACAGTAAAGGAACTAACTGGTGAAGTGAGAGAGCTTCAGGCCAGTGTAAAGGACCTCCAGGCCAGATGGGACGAGTTCATAGCAGAGGAAGAAGCAGCAAGAGTGGAGTACGCGGTGACGGAAGAGGCCGTTCCACCTGTAGCTTTGGTGGTGAAAACTTGTTTCAAGATAGTTTAGTGGGGTTAAGCATCCCTGCATCTGTTTCGTTTTTTTTCACGTTGTCTTTCTGTTTGGGTTTGTGTTTCAGTCTCTCCAGGTTTGCTTCCACCCCACCCCTCCGCCCCTGCATTGCTCGCTCTCCGTCTGTCGCTTTCGTTCTCTCTTGATTCTTTATCTGCCTGGCTTTTCGGATATGTCACGAGACACTGACCTACTTGTTATGCCAAAACGACGTGATCGCCGTAAGCAGTTGAAGGCCTCATCAGTTTTTTCATCTCTACTGGTGCCTTGCCATCATGTTGATTATTCGGTAAGATACACGGGCCAAGAGGTACACTCACCAAACGAATACACGGCCGCTTATTCAAGAGCCCCATCATAATGTAGAACCAAGCCGAGGGACAGGCCCAAGGGAACGCGCCGTCCCGATCATGCAGGACCGATTCCCGATCGCCCCACAGCACCCCAAACCAAGAAATCTGGACCGTGAAACCCAAAGCCCCACGACCCTCAACGCTGCAACTTAAACATGTTAGAAACCTACATTTTCTACGTGGCCAGGCGCTCGACATGCTGGCCGCTTTGCGGAAATCCCATCAAGAAAGAATTTCCCAGAAGACAAAGGAGCGCCCTATGGGCGTAGTGCTGTGTCCAATCACGGTTTCAGCTGTCCTGCGTTCCGATCTGCAGGAACTTCACAGGCTCCAATTTCCAGACTTGCCACCAGTGTGATGGCATGTGATGGCATGAAAAGAAGGCCTCTGGCTCTGCATGTCTTTACGAGTCACGAGTTTCTGTTCTCACGTGGTGCGATGGTCAACCTTATCCAACTCCGAAGCTGGCTCGCGCCGTACCGCTCGACACCGCTCGCTCCCTGTGATTTTGCTTGTGGCTCGAGAGAGAGAATGGCGGCCACATGAGTGGAATTGGGTGGGTCAGCAGGCCTCAACGGCACTGTGCTGATCTGTCGTTGTTGCTGCAGCAGCCTGGTTGTTTTAAACCGTTCTTGGCAGGTTTCTCGCCACGGAGCTACCACAAACACATGGCCCACAACCAAGGGTATCAGGCTTGCCTAGGCCGCGGCTGGATTTCTTGAGCGGTCGCCGAGGTGCACAGCAGTTCTGTCTTGCGCGAGTGGAGCTCAGAGAGGAGAATGTAAGATTTTGACGGGCGTGCATGTTCTTCGTAATGCCTTCTACGCGGACATCTCGAGAAACACCCGGGGCGTGTGGCCGACTCGTGAGCAGCTGGAACTACAATCGGAGGAAATTCAATATCGGACAGGTCCGACTCGAGCCTGGCATCCCGAAGCTGCTGGTGAAGATTAACCCCACAGATGCCGAATCCTTCCATGCCCGGGCCACGGCTATTGCAAGGTTACAGCATTTCAGCGCATGTGCAACGGACTGACACTTTGTGTGCATGCACGCTCCGGTTTTGTCCCGATAGCTCGACTTGGGAAGTGCTTGTGCAACCCCGGCCTGCTTCCCGGCCCAATTACTTCCGTGTGACGTTGTTGTCAAGGTTTCTGCAACGGATATTGGTTTGACCCTGAAGGCCAAGAACCTCGGAGAGGTGATTCTCCGCAAAGGCGTCACAAGCCGCAGCCAGGTCTGAGTGTCCGGGAGCTGGCATGTTTGATGGTCGCACCAACACTGTTGCACGTGGTGCAGCTCGGAGGTGGCAGTGCTTCACATGAGCCGGGGGACTGCAGCTGGGGAGGCCCCTGAGCATTCTCAAATGAGCAAAGAGCTGTGCTGCAGTCTACGTGATGTCGTGCAGGTCTTGATGTCTGTGAAGCTTGCAGACCTTCTCGATTTAGAGGCTGGCGACAAAGATCTGTTGAGCCGTGCGTTGTAAGCCAGTTCTTCAGACCTCCTGTTGTTTCAGGATGGACAGGGCGTAGAAGTGGTCGAGTCCTCAGTAAGAGCTCAGTGGCTTGATGGCGTGATTCTCCGCCAGTGTCTTACGTGAGATAGAGTGTGACGCGCTTGATGGTCATCTTCTGCGAGGCTGCTGCGGCCGTTGCCACAGCCGTCGCCTCGGATGCTTCAGACAAGGCCCGTAGCAAGATGTAGCAAGTTCTGCATCAGTGCTCAGGCTCCTACCTCTTCGAATTCAGCTGCGTCACGCGGGCGTGTCCCGACTGTGGCAGCTGTCAATGCACCGCGGCAGGCTGGGGAGTGTCGCAACTCTTGCACAGTCCGGCTGCGGCTTTTGCGGTGCGCCGCAGGAGTGCACCTGGGAGCGAACTCACAACCACGGCCTGAGCCCTGAGCCGCCGCCCGAGTGTGAGAACTTTTGTGGGAATGTTTTCTCGCCATTACTTGGCGCCCTCTTGTGTTGCGATTGGCATCTGTGTCTTTCCGCTGAGAAGAAGTGAATGTCATGGTGTCATGAGATGTCATGAATCACGAGGTTTGGCCACTTGAACGGCTTCGGTGGCTCCGGGCGAGGAGTCGATCCTGGAGGCTGTTGCAGATTTACAGTCTCATGTCATGCCGGCACATTGCTTGCTTTTGCAGAGAATGGGTTCTAGTTGCAGTGCCACTCAGTCAGATATTGATATTGCTGTGACTAGCAGCACAATAGCACGAATCCTGTCCCTGTACGCGGCTACTTTTCAACACACACACACACATCGTAAGTGGTGTGTTATGCATACTGCACATGTACGGGGTTTATTAGCGGGGCATCGGAAACGCAGGTGTATGGCAAGGTAGTTGAGCCATGATGGTCGGGCAAGTCGCGCAATGCAAAGAGACATGTCTTGTATGGGTTGTTTTGTTTTACTTCGGTGTTTGAGTCGCTGGCAGGCAGTTTCGACAAGCGCCATAGCCCGGAAAAGGGCACTGCGTCCCTGTTCGACAACCGAGCATCGCAGGACCGGCTGTGAAGCCTTCATGTCTGTCATGTAGAGGCATCCACCATGTTGCCTTTCAGCCGACCCTGCATCGCATGCATGTCGACTCCGCAGGATAATGGACGAAAAAACATTTTACGTTCCGCCGCGACCCCGTCGTTTGCTCCTTGTTGGACGAGAGTTTCCTCCCAGCAGAAGACTATTTAAGTAGATACATAAGGTGCATGAAGATCTGGCTTGTAGTCAACTGTCGAGAGCTCGCACCTGAAAGAAGTCCGTGCAAAGGTGCACTCTGCACGCGGCGTCCGCGAGCGAAATAGCTTGCCGAACCTTGGTCTTTCAAGTTGGTGCGTCTTAGTGGTCTACAGGGATGTCGATCTTCCTGATGTACTTGATGCCTAAGAATTTGCAAGTATTTCCAAGTCTTGACAAGGACCCGGGCAAATGTAAACCCAATTGGTGCGGAGAAGCCCAAGGCAGGCCGCCCGTCTTACCAAGCATCACCAAGCTAGCCGCGTTGTCCAGGTTGGTGGTTTTAGCTCGTGGTGCAAGCAGTGTCCAAAGAGCACGTACTGTAACTGCGTCGTTGGGCAGGATGATGGATACATTCGGACTGGTTTGGATCGTCGCCCAGGCCCGGCCTGCTTCCTGTGCCTGCTGTGGTGGTGCAGGTAGGACTGTCTGCAATCATCTAAATGTTATCGTGCAGGCTTCATGACGCACCCGGAGGCCGCACAGGACCTCATGCGACTACAAGAGCATTGCTGGCAACGTTTACATGTCTGGGCATTCTCCTTGAGCCATGTGGCCAGTGTTCAGGATGCAGACGGAGCAGAAGTGCTGCCCTTGTGGTTGCATCTTCACGGAGTGAGGTGCTGTCGCATCAAATGTGTCAGGTTCCTGGCAGAAGTCAAGCTTCGTCCTCACGAGGACGCCCTGGAGCCGTGCGACAGGCGGCCCAGCAGCGTCAAGCGTAAGCGTGCTGGTCTCTGCTGTTCTCCCCTGGTGAGGGCGAGTCGTGCCGTGGAGCTGCGCAGCGTCCGAGCTCTGGGCTCCGGAGCCCAGCTCTGCCCGGCTGACAAGCTGAGAATTTGGGACACACGGAATGACGGCGGCATCTGAGGTTCGGATTCTTGGACTGCTTTGGACGGGGAGCCGACTGCGCAGACCACAGAGGCGGCATGCGACCATCCAAATTCATAGCCGTCAGCTGCATGTGATGCGACGACATGCGGCGAGTACATGAAGTGCTCGACTTGCGCTGTGCAGGGGCTTCTGAGGAGCATCAGGCTTTCTATTCCTCCTCGGTTTTCGACGCCTATCCCACACAGGACTGGCTTGGTTCTAGCTCCCTCCTCGACCAAAAGAGATTTTGCCATGCCGGTTCAGCTTTGACTCGGCCTGCAGGAGTCTGGCCGCAGCACTGGCAGCAGCATGCGGTACGCATGCACCTTGGGTCCCTTTTTGCCATGTTCGAGAGGCTTGTCGGCCTTGAATGGGCCGATTGCACTTCGCAGGTGCACACTGCTCTCGGCATGCAGCGAAACAGCTTGCCGAATCTTGGCTGGATTAGTTTCATTTGGCGAGGTCTTTGGCATTACTCTTTGGGCAACGCGGTTTCTGTGAGGAGCCGAGCACCAGCTGCATCTGCCGGGAAGGCGCTGTGGCTTCGACTTGGATCCTGAAAGTCGCGAGGACCCTTGCGTCTGTACATGTGCAAGAGGACAGACGCCCTCACAAGTGTGATCCTTCTGGTTGCGAGCTGAGCTTGCTGACATGATTGTTCTCGTTCGGAACTCGCACGTCATAAGCATTGCGAAGAGCTAAAGCTTCCTCCCCAGCTTGCGGAGTGTGTCCTTTTCAACTAGACGACGTCCAGAAGCATCAAGCCAGCTGCTGTGGTCAGCACAGGTCAGCTCCACAAACCTACGGCAAAACCCGACAGCAAACACCCCTCACATTTGCAATCATTTGCATCTCCGAGCTTTGCGAATTCCGACAAATTAGCTTCATTTTGCGCTCGACATGATTGAATCCTGCCAGATAAGTGGGGACTGCCAGTACATAAGTGGGGAAGCATTTTGGCCGTGGTCATGAATCCCGCCAATACTCGGGACAAGCCCTTTGGCCCTGGGGTGGTGTGCCCGGTTTGCAGGTGGTGTCCTGGTGGTCTCCTGCCGGTCTCTTGGTGTTCTTCTGGTGGTCTGCTTGCGTCTTTTCTGGTCGTCGCGGTCGTCCTGATGGAATGCGGATCAAAACAGGCTAATCAGGATCAAAAAACATTAACCAAGATCAAAGAAGTCGATCAAGAACAATACTTACGCTCCACAGCTTCCCACCCCGGCCATTATTGCCCTTGTTACTCCCAGTTAGTCGTCATACTCGTATATACCGTTACGACTCTTGGAATTACTGTTCTTTCTATCATGACTGTTCGTAGTGTTCTTACCATTATGACTATTGTTACCAGTGCTACTGGTACTGCTAGTGGTAGTACGATTACCATCAGCAGAATTATGACTGCTAATGCAATTGTTACTATTATTGATATTTTTACTGTTGTTACTGCACTTGCTGTGAGTACAATGACTACTCACTCTTCTTACTTACTAATCTTATTGTTCTTACGATTATGATACTTTGCACTCGTTATTGTTAACATTGTCATTTCTACTGGCGACTATTATTGCTGTTATTGGACTCGCCTAATGAGTGTGCAAGTTTACAATCATTGACCAACTGCCCTTCGGCTTGTGATACGGGACTAACCGCCATCGCTTAATGGGGTCGGGTTTGAGATATGAGAGCAACCCCACCATCGCCTACTGAGAAGGCGAGTTTTCTGCGCAATTCTACCTTGAATGATGTACGTAGAGTTCAGGTATGGCGGATAGCGTCGGTTAGGCTTAACAGCCAAGTTTTCAGGTTGTGAGGAGTTCAGGGTTGCACGGGTTTACTGGTTGGTCTCCTGTTTACGATGAGTCTGTAAAGTTTAGGGTTCAGGGAATAGGTTACTGCAAAAGCAGACCCTGCAACCGCAAAACCGGACCTTGCAAAGTGCCCACCAGCTCGCCGGGACTCGGCTTCGGGTTTGAGTTACGGGGGTTTATGGCGACCAAGGACGTGTCAGATTGAGAGCTGAGGGAGTCTGTGCGGTGACGGTACTGGCAAGCCTGAGGCAGTCGCAACTAAACACGAAACGAGGGAGCATGCCAAGCGGAGTGCCCCAAGTGGGAGATAATTTCTTTGAGATCCTGTCTAAACTGTCGTTTGGTCCCTGGAGGTTGAAGTTTTTTTTGATCGTGATTGAGCTTTTTTGATTTGGCACCCGTCCTCATCGTCCTTGTCGTAGTGGTCGTTATCTTGGTCGTCTGGTCGTCGGGGTGCTCCATCACTGTTTGGGGATCTATGCTGGAGTAACAACACACATATTCCCAAAACAGCTGTCAAGCCCTTGAAGCTCCTACTTTCCATTGAATGGTCCATTAACTCACTGCATAGCCCAACCTATTTCTGGATCTAGCGTACAATCCTGGAATCCGGGTAGTTGCGGAAATCTGTGCCCCAGCACGTGAATCTTTGTTCCTGTTCTTTTCGATGTGCGCATCGGCTTTTCACTTGTGTAGCACCTTGCGGGAGACAAACCTTGTTTGTTCGGGGCTCCATGCATCTTGCAAGAGGGATACCCACTCAGAGGGTTGCATGGAAACCGCTGCACCCCAGACGACCAAGCTTGCACACACCTGACACATAGTGTCCCCTGACGGCAGTCCCGAGGCTTCCATCCCTACACTTCTACCAAGGCGCCGGATCGCCTTGGTGGCTGCATTGTAGCTTGTGGAGTATGGACACTCGGTTTGGCAAAAATGATCACGTGTTCTCGGAGGATGTGGACACTGCGGAGGCGGGTGCAATTCTCGCTTTGCGTGACGAGCTGCGCATCAGATCATCGGGGCACACCTTTCTACAATGATGCTTCAGCACCTGTTCCGACTACAAAACGTCCAAGTATGTTTATGTTGTTCGTTGTAAGACGCCCCGTCAACTAAGCGTGTTGCAACACTTCGGACTTATGTCGTTTTTGCATACATTGCGTCGAAAGACGGTCTGAGACACAACACTATGTCACTATGCTAACTGACGCACAAGCGTTGCGAACATAGAGCACAGATCTTCGGGTTCTTCTGGATGTCGGGAAACCGTGCGCGACACAACACAGCCATTGGATTCGTTATCAAGTCCACTCCTCCTCAACAGTTGCAGTCAGAGAAGTCAGGACGCTCTCAGGCGCGTCTTTCGTGGACTTGTTTTTGGCTGTGCAAGGCTGCCTTGGCCCGAGGTCGGTGCCATGAAAGTGAGAATTGAGAATCATAGGGTTTCCTGGTAGGGCCCGGTGCCTGATATATGTATGTATATATATATATATATTGTATAGATGATGCCATGGCGACTGCTTCGTGACTTCCCACATCAGTTGCAATTCTGAAGGTTGTGTGAGCGGAGACTTCGAAGCATATTGAGGGGTCAACGGCTGGTTTTGAGTGAAGTCTGAGCATGCATCTCGCAATGCTGATCGCAAGGGCGCGGATCCCCACGCAGCATGACTCATATGACTCCTGATGCGAAGCGCATTTGGCGGCCGTCAGGCGGCCGCAGCCAACGCTGCGGGCCATGCAGTGCCCACACCGGCTTCGGCTCGACAGGCGCGGAGCAGCCGGCTCTAGGGCCTAGGGTCTCCGTCTCCGCGTGTTCGGAACACGAGCGCGGGCGGAGACGAGCCGCGGATGTCGCGCTTTTTGTTTTCATGAGAGAACGCGTCGTCGGTCGAGGAGTGCAGAGGCCAGCGGCCAAGTGGGTGGGTGCCTGAGACAAGGTCAACCGACACTGCTAGGACTGTTTGTTGTCTCTTCAACACTGAAGCCCAGGTTTGGTTTTCTGGACTGTCTCGGTCGACACGGACTAGATCACCCAGGCATATCCGGTTTACGAGCTTCGAAAGGAAGCCCTTGCTCAAAAGTCCTGAATTGCACAGGCCCTGAGAAGACGGACCCGGGTCCGGCCCCTTGCTTCGAGAAGCGGCGCTCGCATGAGTGGCGCACAGAGGAGGAGGAGGAGCTTTGTTGCCCTGAGAGCCTGAGAAGATCTGACCATATAGCTCACCCTGACCAGGAGCTCTGTCGAAACACCAGCATGCCAAATGCCGGGGCCTCAGAGGCCTGGAAAGCTGGAGAACCGTCTTGATGCTCGTGACAGAGGATTCGCATCGGAGAGGTTTTCTTCGGATTGGGATCAGGTGCATTCGGTGCTCGGCCCGCCAAGCGGAGACAGCTTGCCGCACCTCGGCTGCACTCCTGCAAGCAGTCGGGCTCTTTGGCTGCCTGTCCAGAACGCAGGAGTCGCCCCGGGCCAGATCAGGATGCCCCCAAGGCCATGTCAAAAGTTGCATTGGCAGTTTGCCGGTGACGACTAGACTGCCCCGACAAGGAAAGAAGCTGTAGGCGGAACGGATGGGACCCTCATTTCAGCCAGGGCCTTACGAAATACTCGCTTCGCTGAAACTCCAAGCAGGAAGTCTGCCCAATCTCGGGGCAGGGTCAAACATGTCAGTCTTCCGAAGCTGCTGGGTCCGCAGGCCTCAACTCATCCCAACTCGCCCTCAATTACCAATCGTTCTAGTTCAGGGCTCTCTTGTCACACTGGCGGGGCAAGGACGGAGGGAACCCCACAGGCGAAAGGCCCTCCTGCCGAGCGCGCCGAGGCTTTCCGAGCTACTCTGAGGCCGCGACGAGCTCGTTGCTTCGTGGTCAGATCAGTCCTCCCAATCTACTAGAGCATGACAGATTGGCAGGACCGCTTTGATATCAAGGCCTGCAAAGCAGCAACGGCCTCAACGTGTGATAGGGGCTGCGCACAAGACAGCTTTGAAGCTTATCCGACGAGCCTATCTCGCTGCCAGCCTGTGTCAACCTGGCACGGTACGAAGAACATGCGATCTTTGGATGTCGGATATAGTCTTGAAGTTGCACGGGGCATGAAGCATTGAGTGGCACATGAATATACAAATACATAAACAACTAAAGTAGAAACATAAGTATGAGCGTGTTTCTATACACATATGAATAGAACAGATATATAGATATGCCAATACATAAGTACATAGGCAAAAGCATAAAATATACATAAAGACGCAACTGGACATGAATCTAGAACTACATGTATATGATAATCCCCAGGTATCCACCCCTGTTGCTGCAAATCCTGTCAATCCCCTGCCTGCGAGCGTTTGTTATAGTCTCGTGCCCCTCGCAGTGAACCCTCTCCCTGCGATCGTTACCATCATACGCTTTCAAGCTAAGACTAAGACGGGTCGGCTTGAAACTCAAGCCGCCTGAAGCCATTTCAAGCCATGCACACCTGAACCCAACTGGCTTGAACGGCTTGAGTTTCAAGCCAGTCCACCGAAGACCGAAGATTTTTGACAGGAATCTTCAATTTACGGGGGTCGGCTGGAAACTTCAGCCGGTTCAAGCCCTTTCAATCCGACCACACCAAAGCCAACAGTCCCTCTGAACGCATGAATCTTTAATCTTCAATCTTCGGTGGCCCGGCTTGAAGCTCAGACCGGTTCCAGCCATCCACCCTAAATCTAAGATTCTCCAAACCTTTCTTTCTCTGTAGTTTTGGATCTTCAGTCTCCGGTGATCCGGCTTGAAACCAGCACTGTCGGCATTTAGAAAATTCGGAATGTTTCCCAGTCTAGACCAATCCAGCATACCCGCAACAGTATCTTCATCCGGTGTTGTCTCGGTCGAAACCCCTACCTCAATTATCTAATTAGATGCCTCTGCCAATTCTTGAATACCTGCTAGATTGTCCAGCACGCTTCGAAATTTTCACAATAGCTTTAGAATACCTTTTCAAAACATATCAGACCATATGAAGGCTGGGACAGCTTTGGGGGGATTAAAAAGTTTGGATAGCTTCAGATACCTGAGATGCTCTCGAATCCTTCAAACTAGACGAAACCACCCAACTACCTTTTGCTTATAGCTGGTGCGCCAGTTTGTGTGTGTCGAGAAGCCGTTGCCCTTGTAAACGATGTTATCGACATACATGACATACCTCTCGAACTGTTGTTCAATGCCGGTCTATAATAGAATAAGTCCTGATCTAAATTTTTGAGACCTCGTTCAGCTACGTAGATGCAGATCTATGTAGTCTATACTTCTGCAGCCTATAAGGGAACCCTTCGAATTACTTCAATTCCTTAGAAGGGCTTGGAAAGCGTTCGAACCTTTAGCCAGCTCAAACACTTCAAGCCAGCTGGATAGTTGCAGATCTTTCAATCTTGATTAATCTTTTGCGCAACTTTGATTCTTGCGAGGTTCTCACATATGTAGGTGTCAATACCACTGTATGTCATCGAACTAGCCATCTCATGGATCGCTTGAGATATGCCAACCCTCTTCCAAAACACTCAGCTGCGCTATTGAGTCATGCGGTTTGAGCTATGAAAGCATGTGTATAATCGTGTATATCCTGGATCTCTGTGAGTCGCTGAATGAAGTCATCCTAAACCCTTGGTTGGGGGATTTCGGACATGTAACAGAAGCTACATAGCCTCATCAGGCAGAATCTGCGGGCCTTATGGGATCCGGGGTAGCAACCTTTCAAGAACCAAGCGCTTTCTGACATCATCAAAATCCTAACGGCTAAACCCTCAGCCTACAACGAACTCCCAGAGAGCCCAAGACCCCGCTAAATAGGCAACACTTTAGAGGATCTCTTCCCAAGGCTTCAGGTACTCCGACGGAACCCATATTTTTCGTTAAAGGTTTCTATGCTGGAATTCTCAAGGAGTTTCTACTTTAGCCCAAAACGAGGTCTAGGTTCGGCCCTTGAGAGTTCGCTTGGTGAACGCGCTTCTCCACATCCAGGGTTCTAAGAGTCCTTTTTCACTGCTTGATCGCGGCGCACATGCATTCAGCTGGAAACGGCGTAAGCACCAATTTCGTATTCGTGTGTTTTACCAAAATAGATATGAAAGCTCCATATTGCTATTCGTTTAACATTTTATGTTCACGCAAAGCTTAAACAATGTTATTGTTTTGTTGTGTGGCGCTGAGTTCTTCCTGGTACTAAGGTAATAGCACTGTTCAGTTGTATTCGAGCACAAAAATGCTGAAACATCTTATCTGCACATTTGCTCAATAGGCAGTCATACGTGACATATACTTAACCCGGGTGTTTTCGTAATTTGACTGTCGCGTATCATTTGCACATAGCACTTGTTCAGATACCTTATAATCCTTATCACTACTGCTCTAGTCATACGTATTATTGAGTACAAAACCTATGTTTGGTGGAATACTCGTTTGGTATTTCAGTAGTGATGGCTGCATGTTCGCCGGTATGTCGTTCATTGAAACTCTAAAATTGAATAGTTTTGTCTAGCGTATTGTATTAACGTCATATTCAGATGGCGCCTCACTTTATAGGCGTGTACAATAGCTAAAATCTAGATATTATCCTGTTGCCCCATTGATGTTCTGTGCCGAGTTTTTCTCCTTACAGTATGTTATTATCATATTTACCAGCTGAGGCCTGTAAGTATGAATTCTATGCACGTTGAACATGTGATGTTCGCATACAACTTAAGCAGTACTCCACTACTAATACATGCTTCATTTCCTTGAGATCTAACCCGCTATTTCATCGTCTAAATATTTCACTAATATGTACACAACGAAGTTGTCGTAATCTTCCAGTCATGCATCCGGCATTCCATGGCTTAGTCGCGAGTCGCTAGTGAATACTTTTTGCGCATTCACGTGTTTTGTCGGTCTCTCTTTTTAATCAAAGAAGTGGTAGTCACTACTGAACAAGCAGCTAGCGCTTAATTGTTATGGCATGGTTGGTTTTCTGTGTCTTTGGTACTACTGCACCGATTAGCTGTTCCAGTTTTAGTGAATGTTACCTGTCATGAATAATGTCTGAATACTGCGTGCTGTGTGGCTTGAGCACAAAGGCAGAACAACATGAACCATTCAACAACAAATATTAACTTGACATAAACTGAGCATTGTTCTAACAGAAGCAATCAGAGATGCATCGCTAATACTGTTTGACTGCGAAACTGCAGAGGATAGGTCAGACATGGATTTTTTGCGAGCAGTACAGTGTACAGGCTAAACGGCTGTTGCCAGCGCCTATGCAGATGAAGTTCTGCAGACGCGTAAACACGCTAAATAGGTAGGTACGTCAGGGGGGTCGCATATGTGTATATATATATATATACACGCACTTATTTAGTTAGTTTTTGCACACTTATCATTAGGCCACAGTAAGCTGCTGTTCTTGAGGCTGGCACACATGCTGGCGAATCTGGTGCCAGCTCTCGTGCAGTGGTTGGCTAAGTTGCTTTTTTCCATTTACCGGAAGATGCCGAACTCTAATTGCACGTCTGTTGCATTTGCAGCCAGAAAATCGCAGGAGCCATCTGTTGTCTCGGTCCTTCTTGAGATTTCGAGTTTGTGGGAGATGAGGCCTCAACACCGTCCTCACCACCAGAGTCCAGTCCCTCTGAAGGCCGGCTGTGCTGAGTGAGCGTCTTGTCATCCGCGGTCCTCGGCTGTGTCAGGCGAATCTGGAGGGAGCAGTGCTGGATCGCATCTAAGCAGTGGCCAAGATCCCCAGAGCCTGCGTAATGTGGCCATGACACCAGAGTGATGTGCCTGAGGGCCGAACAGCTCAGTCTCCTCCAAAGACATGCCAGATGTAACGAAGACGGCGCACAAGGCTCGCATGGATTCTGATTGGGCTTTGCGTGTTTGCATCGTCTTGCACAGCTTAGCTTAGCAAAAGCTCGACTGCGTCGAGTATCGTGATCGTGACTCCAGAGATTGCGTTGCGTGCTCCGAAGCTATGGTTGCAAGAGCTTTAATCGGGCAATGGAGCTGAGCAATGTGGATGCTGCGGTGTTTTGGTCGGTTTCTGGCAGCCTCCAAACTATTCTCCTCGTTCGGGTCTGCTACCTGACAGTGGTCAATAGAAGCCACTTGTCCGTCTGGTGTAGAAGGCTGGCTGAGTACTTCAAGATGATGTTCAAACTTCAGCCTATTGGAAGTGCGCAGGAGAAGCTTCTGGTGGATCAGGTGTGCTATCGTCATGTGCAGATGGCACGCTTGTTCTTGAACTTGCTGTGTGGAGTCTTGATGACCGGGCTTCTTGGAGTTCAGGTGACTGTTGTACTCAGCACGAACGGATGGATGTCGGCAGCCATGGCGTGGATCCTCCTGGCGCTATTTGCGATTACCTTGCTTCACGTGGTGTCCCCAACTTTGCTGGCAAAGCCCAAGCATTCGAACGCTTTGTATGCAGTCTTAATGGCCCTGGCCGTGATTGGCCTGGCACCCATGATCACGCCACCAGACCGACTGTTCATGATGTCACTTTGTGTACTTGGCTTTGTTCGTGTGCCGGCTGTATGCATGGCCACAGAACCCGCGTTGGTCGCCTTCTGCAACTTCGGGCCTTTTCTCATGGTGCTGCTGCGAGCCACAGTGGAAGGAATACCCTTAGCCACTGCCGTCATTTGTGCAGAAGTCTCCGGCTTCTTCGTAACTGCGGTCTCGGCCGTGTTCTTGCAGGTCGGAGAGTAGTAGCAGTTGAAGTGGCAGTGGCAGTGGTCGTGGTGGCAGTAGTGGTGGTAGCAGTGGTTGTAGTCTGGTAGTAGTGGTAGCAGTGGTAGTAGCAATGACAGTGGTGGCGGCAGTGGCGGCATTGGTGGTAGTGGTAGGAGTAGGAGCAGGAGTAGGAGTAGGAGTAGGAGTCGGGGAATAAGAGAATAGGAGAGTAGGTAGCTGTGGCAGTAGCGGTAGTGGTAGCGGCAGTGGCAGTAGCTAGCGGTAGCAGTGGCAGTGGATGATCACGACTGCAGCTAGGTGAGCTTGAGATGCAGCAGCAGCGAAAGTCTTCGGCACCAGCAGCTTTCCACAGAGCTTCGAGCGGCATCCTCGCTGCTCGGCTTGACCTGTGATGCCGTCATCGAGCTGGATCAGGCCTGGAAAGCTGCAAGTAGAACAGTTACATGACAGTTAAAGCTTGTTTGGTTGACCTGGTCACTGGGAGTTTTTCGACAGCGTTGTCAGGACTTGCGATTGGTGGAGCACTCAACCGAGCTCGCCACCATCCTCCTTCAATCGAGTTCCGACCTGAAAGGCAGCCTTTTCACGGATTTCATGCCCAGCACGGAGGAGGCAGAAAGGGCAGCGGAGCTGTTGCGCCGATTTGACAAATATCCGCCGGAAAGCATCAACACCCAGGCCTTCCATACGCGGTTTGTCGACAGCTGCTCCAGCAAGTTTCGCTCCGAAGTTTTTCAAGTCATGTACACAGTGCCGGGTCGGGGTCGTGGCAAGTTCCGGCACCTCCTGGGCGTCAGAGATGTCAGCGACAAGCGATCGCTTGCCTCCCCCACATCCCCGGATGCCTTGTCAATGTCGGAGAGGCAGCCGTCCTACACGTTGCTCACACCAAGCATCTTTACTCCAAACAGCCAGCTGCCCGGTGCACCGGTCGTCCACATGGAGGCGCAGGCGCCTGAGCCTCCCGCTATCGAGCACAGAAGGCTGCTAAGCCTTGAGATTGACATGGAGCGGAAGAGCATAGCAGCTGCATCGAAGCCAGCCTTTGTCGGGAAGAGGCTCGTCGACGTATTCTCAGAGCCAGGGCTCGCGGTTTTGGAAGAAGCTTGGGTAACCGCGTGCTCCGAAGGAGGGGCAGATAAGGCAATTTCATTTCAGAAGTTGGAGTTGCGATTGAACTCCTCCATCCGGGATTCTGTGGATGGCATCCTGGAAGTGGCCATGACGGAGACAGGAGATCTTCATATGATGTTGCGTTGCCTTCTCACTCCCACACTTGCTGCTGCGCAGAACTTGGCCCGAAGCAACTCCCGGAACCTCCTGGTGCCTGTGCCGGAGGCTGTGCAAGGCGAGACGTCAACGGAGGCTACAGAGTTCGTGAACGTGAACTTCTAAGAAGTGACGGCGCGGGCGAACGGATGGCCAAAAAGGGTATGCCTGCAGACGGGAAGGTTGTGGTGGCTTCAGGGGTGTGGCTTGAGATTGAGACTCTCCCGTTTGTCCCTGGAAAGATGAAAAGCGCTGAAGCATCTCAGCATAGTAGGGGCCGGTTCGACCAGGAAGAGGTGCCAAGCCAAGTGCAGTCCATTTTGCAGGTACGCTCCGATTGCGGCGCTGTTGCTTCGGCCAGCAAGGCCTTTGATGTCCACGAGGCAGAGGGCGATTTGGCATGATGCTGAGGGAGAGTTGCATACTGCGAGGCCAGCCCCAAACAACGAAGGGCATCGATCTCCTTGCCTTTGGTCTTGCTGCAACTTGGCTTCTTTGCTGTGGACACTTCTTGGAATTTGTAGTTGGTTCAACTGGAGATGCTCTGCGAGCATCGAGCCATGCAGGCCCAGTCATGACGCCTGCAAGTCTAGTGCAGCCCTGAGAGGAGAATGGTGGGAGTTGATGTGCCCTCAGTTTTCAGTCCTCAGGTGTCGGGACAACACCGGGGAGTAGTGGCAGCCTGAAACGACGAGACAGCACCAGCAGCTTGCTGAGAAGGCGGAGGAGAGGGCTCGGGGCCAGCTGTCAAAGAGCCGATCTAAGACATTTTGCGAAGCACACATTGATGGTTGCATCAGGCAAATCAGGATTCAGGCGGGGCTGAGGGGAACAAGTAGAGCTTCTGTGGATAGGTATGGTGACTTGAAAGGTGGGACGATGCTTCGGGTTTGCATTGAGGCACGGGCGGCTTGAAGAGTCTAGGATGCAGACATCGGACGGGTCGGACCGGACTGACTAAGGAAATCTTGCTCTCAAGCTGCTTCGACAGAGTTGTCGAAGAGAAAAAATTTCGGCACCCCTCACGATAGGACCAGCACGCTGGGTCTGCTTCAGCAAGAGTTGGCGGAGCCGCTGAAGGGCTCCATCTCCCGGAGCAAGGTGCCCCCCTTGGCCCTTCTCTGCGTTCTGAAGACACGCGCAGAGAAGTTCAGAGGGAGCAAGGACAGGGCCAGCTTTTGTGAGTTCAGAAGAACTGCGTGTAACCAATCAGAAGGTCCCGGATCACTGGCTGCCGCCCTCGGATGCAGAAGCAGGCAGGGTTCCCTCGTTTCCGTGCAGCACTGAAGACATCTTGCTGGAGTGTCTACTCGGCTATGGATGTTAGGTTGTCGTCTTCAGACATGTGCCGTTCTTTTCACATGCATCGGTGGAGAGCTGTATCTGCTGAGATCAAGATCTGAGAACTCTGGGCCAAGTGTGACAACAAGAAGCACGTCCTGACTCCCATGGCACCCGAAGCCAGGCGGACTTCAGAAGCTCCCAAGCACTAGACGGGGTCGTGGACCCAAAGAGCCATGGAAGAAAAATGGCGTCCGGTGCTTGGTTTACTGGCCATGCTGGGGGGCTCCTTTTGCTTCTCGCTGATGGCCCTGGTGGCGACGGAGCTCGGGTCCGGACGTGCATCCAAGCACAAGTTTGAACCTTTCGAGTTGGTCTTCTGGCGGTCGCTCTTCATGTTGGCAATCACCATGTCTAGCACGCTGTCGAAGGGGCTGAACCCTCTGGGCCCAGCCTGTGCTCGCACTCGTGCTATCCTGGTGTTTCGTGGTCTGTGTGGGGTGGCTTTCATGGCCACCTACTACTACTCCCTAGCCGTACTTCCAATGAGTGATGCAGTCGTGCTTACATACACCAGCCCGATGCTGACAGCACTGGCTGCCACAGTCTTCCTTGGAGAAACTTGGCATAGTTTGGACTTCTTTGGCTCAGGCCTTTGCCTTGCTGGAGTAATGATGATCAGTAAGCCACCGGCACTCTTCCACATCCTCGGGCTGAAAGAGGAAAATGTGGATCTGCCACCCCTGGGCCTGGCAGCTGCCTGCTGCGCAGCAGTCAGTGCTACCTGTGTATACGTCATCATTCGTGTCCTCAAGGACAGGGTTCAGGGCAGCACGAACAGCCAAGTGGCTAAGCACCTTCATAATTGTTTATAACTAGTACGGCGTGACTGCGAAGGACAAAGACGTGCATTCCCTTGTGTTCGTGAATTATCTTGCCATGGCCGCGGTTGTAACAGCTCCCATCATGGGCCTCGGGCCATTTAAAGAAACTTGGGCCGTCCCCTCCTTATGGGCTATAGTGCTTCTGGTGGCGTTGGCTACGCTTGCTTCCGTCGGCGAGACGATGCTGGCTTTCGGCCTCAAGGTGGAAACTGCTGCCAAAGCAACCTCCATGAACTACCTGCAAGTGGTTTTTGCTTTCATATTCCAGCGGACACTACTGCATGAGTCCAGCAGCGACTTCCAGAGTAAAATCGGGGCTCTGATGATCTCTCTTTGGGGTATTGTGGCCCTGGCAAAGGAGGCGATCTCCCAATCATCTTTGCCCAACAAGGAGGTTGAGCAGCCACTGCTTGAAAAGTCTAAAGAGCCGATGACCCTGTCCACTGGACTGTTGGCCATGATCGTCGGGGCCTTCTTCTTCTCCTTGATGGCTCTGCTGGTGAAGCTCCTGAGCGGCTTTGGGACTTACGAGCTCGTGTTCTGGAGATCTGTGTTTATGTTCATCGGAACCATGTCCATGCTGATCGCGAAGAGGATAAACCCTTTGGGGCCGCCAGGGAGCCGTGTGTTGCTTTGGGTGCGTGCTGCCGCAGGCTTCGGCTTCATGAGTGGATACTACTATGCCATCCAGCACTTGCCCTTGAGTGATGCGGTGGTCATCACCTATACCAGCCCGGTCATCACGGCCGTGGCAGCGGCACTGCTGCTGGGAGAGGTGGGCCTCTGGAACGCGCGAATCCGTAACTATCAATCAGCGAGAATCAGCGACTTCAGCCGCCCCCGTCCAGAACTAATCGCAGTGAATCAATAGCTTCGAATCTGCCGAATCGTGAACTAAAGTAGTTTCTGCGACAAGTCGCGACTCATGGTCTAGATGCTCTTCGTGAACCGATTCCTCAGGGTCTTCTACCGTCAGCCCAACGGTTTGGTTCGCGGTTCAGCGCGCTTTGCTGCCGATGCAGCGTTCTAGCGTTCTTGATTAACGATTCCGCGGGCAGTTGCGGGTTCACCGGGGTCTCTGGTTCAACTGTGCTTCATGATTCAGTCCGTGGTTGTTACCGGCTCAGGCGGGTTTAGTTCTTACAGTTGTTTTTGGTTCCCTTGGAGGCCTGGGGCCGGCTGGATGCCTTGGGCAGCGTCCTTTGCATGGTGGGTGTTGTGTTGATCAGCAAGCCTAGCTTCGTGATGACCTTCTTCGGTGCGGAGCCCAAGCCGATGAACCTGAAGGGCTTACTAGGGGCTGCCATCGCTGCCGTGATGAGCTCTGTAGTGTACTTGCTTGTTCGGGTGCTCAAGGGGGTGCACCCCATGGTCTTCGTGAATTACTTTGCCGCAGCAGGAATCGTTCTCGGGCCAATCTTGAGCATTGCGGCTGGGGAGACGTGGTCATGGCACACCCAGAAAGACTGGCCCCTCTTGGTCCTGCTGGCCATTTTCTCGATCGTCGGCCAGGCCTTGATGAACCTGGGGCTCACGCTCGAAACCGCAGCGAAGGCAACTGCCATGAACTATTCCCAGGTAGTCTTCGCTTTTATCTTTCAAACGACACTGTTGCACGAAGCCACAGATCCGCTAAGCGTAGCTGGTTCTGTGATGATTGCGACCTGGGGACTCATCGCCCTCGTGAAAGACTCCCAGCCAAAGGTGGCGCCAGACGTGGAGCAGAATCAAGTCAATGAGGCTACGAATCTTGACATGATTCTCGACAGACGAAAGTCCCACGAGTTGGAACATCGGGACAGCGAGTTTGACGCCCTCTGAGTTTTGCCCGTGTCTTGCCGCGGCCAGTGTGCAATGCATTGCGTATTGCCGTGGTGAATTCGCACGGTTTTGGACTGGGTCTTGAGACCCAATGTTTGTTTAAGGTTTGAATGCGCCTTCCACAGGAAGCAGGTAAACACCTGCAAGCGAGAGTCTTGACCGTTTGTGAGTCAAGGAGGAAGCCCGTCCTACTGCGCCAGAAGCCAAGCTGACAATTGCTCGACCTCCGAGCCATTGCAGCAGTGCAGTAGTGCATTGGGCCGCTTCTGGCTCGCATGCCGAGATCGATTTTGGGTGTTCTGCGAGCGGGGTTCGCACAAAGTAGGTTGGACTGGCAGAGCAGCTGCCGATTCAGTTTGTCCTTACTAGACTATAGATAAATCTGGAATTGAGCGTGATTTGCCCATCTCTTTGCACGCCGACACCACTGTAGGATAATAGTTCGTGGCCAGGGACGGTGCGGGCAGGACGGATGGTGGAACTTGTCTTCATGACATGGATTTTGCCGAAAGAGCAGAGCTCGTTGCAGGTAGCTTGGAGCGGTCTGAGCTCGGGGCGGAGGCAAGCAGGCTCTCGGCAGGCAGGTGTGCAACAGATTGGAGCGTGACCAGGCAACTGCAGAGGTTCGCCGATGGCTCCTGGGCCACACCTCCGGGCAGCAATGCTCGCAGGCGATGGCACACATGTACTTCCCGGAGCGGTCGCGTTGCTGGAATAGATCGAAAGAGAAGGTTTACGAAAGAGGAAATGCGATACCTGCCGAACGTTCTCGGTAAGAGGTGATTCTCGATCGAGCGCTGACGGTTCTTTCGAATTTCAAGCTGGCCAGCTGGCGGCCTAGCAGAATGCCCTTGCATTCCCCTCGCAGCAAGTTCTTCGAGTGCCGTGTGATGCAGCTCAGAGGATTCCGACATGTCAGTAATGCAAAGGCTTGTCTCCTGCAGTTCTGATCGCCCTCTCGCTTTGCCGTGCTCAGGTGGATGTGAGTTGGAAGTCTTGGGAGGACGGGCTGGCCACTGCTGCAATTCCGGACTTGACTCTGCTCCAAAGACCCCAGGACCTCTCGGGGCGCTTGTTGGCGGGTACAGTGATGCGGACTGGCTTTTCAGCGAGGCTGGTGGGCTCTTGGTGTTACCCTTCGGCAAGGTCTCGCGGTGTTCGGCAGGTCTTTAAAAAGCACCCGTCCGATGCCATCCGCGAGTCCTTCGCCCTACTGGGCTTCCGGAACCGCTTCGATGGTGACTGGCCCGGCCCTGAAGATGTCTGAAGGCCTGTCGTTTTGAAAGCTTTCGCTCCTGTTTCTTTGAGGTCAAGCACCTCGGTCGAGGAGATCTCGCTTGTCTATCGGCGGATGTGCCTTCGCGGGCATCCCAGCCGAGGAGGCACACCTCCTGCATCCTGCAGAGACGCACTGTTCGTAGATCGAGGGAGTCGCAGAGGGAGTACCTGTCGTGGATCCGATGTTGCCGAGTTTCCCTCATGTGTTTGTGCCTGCCAGGATCGCCGAAGGATTACCTGAAGCTGCAGGCCGCAGTTGAGATTCTGTAGGACTACTGCAGGCCGCGTGTCTCAGAAAGTGTCATGTAGGTAGCCATGGAGCTCATCAAGGCCTTCTGTGGAGATGCCGGCCCATTACAGGTGCCTGGGTGCTTGCACGGGTCCATTCGAAAGTTGGCCAAATCTGTGGGGCACTGATGCATAAACGGGGGAAGCTCGGAAGACTTGTTTCGTCGGGTAGCTCACCGTCAAAGGCAGCAGAAACAGTACGCCATTGTAGTCGCACTGGCCGACTGGCTGACTCGTAACCATATTCTACAGGTTGCCAGCTTGTCAACACTGTCCCCTGACTCCAGAAGTCGCTTCGCTCCCAGGTGGACCGGCGAATTCAAGCGCCTGCTTGCTTGCCTGAAGGCTGATGTGCGGGAAGCGGCTTTGTGTTGGTTAGACATCAGACAGAAGTTGGTTTCATCAAGTTGTTTCATCAAGTTCCGACCTATTCCATGCGCTTACATCTGTCAGTCGGTGAAAGCAATTGCGCATGTGCTCAACCGTATGCTTGATCCGCGACGTATCACACCAGTCTTACCGACACCAGTCTCAAGAACTAGTCACGGAATATACAATCGAAGGCACATAGGCTGGGATAGAAGGGGGAAGGGGCAAGACAGGGAAGGGACAAGCGGAGAGTCAGCCAGGCCCCACGGCTGAAGGCAGTGAAGGTAGGCGGAGGGGGACGGGTCCCAAGGGAGTGGGGCGCTGGGTGCACTTAGTGGGAGGCGGAGAGGGGAGTGGGGGATAGTGGGGGCCGGGAGAGGTGGTGCGGACGGCGTGGCGGGTGTACTCGCTGGAAAGGAGAAAACGACATCTTCATCTTACTAGAATGCTGGATTGATTTCTTCTCTTATTGTATTCTACATTGTGAAAAAGAGTTTCAGACAGCTACATAAAAGAGTGAGGGCAGCGGGCGGTGGAAGCGTAGCAAGACCCCAGAGCCATGAGGGAAGGGCAGGAACGAAGCATCTCCGGGCGCCGATCCAGTAAATTCGGCGAACATCATCTACGTACATCTGTAAATGTGCACTTGTCTGCAGCACAGTCTCGTAATAAGTGCTGTAGTCGGTAGTAGATTGCGTACATCGAGTCTATGTATGTACATGCATAGTCATGTATGTATTCATGCACGCACAGTTGGTATCCATATGTGTATTGAATACAACAGTACAGTGAAGCCAGTGTGTGTGTGTGTATGTCTAACGTTCGTGCCAACTCCAGCAAAGAGCATCTACACTGTTGATGACCTAAATTGTATTTACATACAGAAAAACATGTACATGTACATATATGTACATATTCATATACACATATTTATATGTGGCTATACCCCCCAAGGACCAATCGCGCAGCCCGCAGTGTATTCTGATGGTCAATGAAGGCTTATGCATGTATCAGGACTCCAAGCACGATTGTGCTTCGAGAAGAAACACAAAATCTAACACATGTGCGGGGACATGATTTCCTGAAGTGCGCACCTGACGCACGTATGTATGAGTTGCCAGTGCCTGCTATCTAATATACAACCAGTAGTTGCGACACATCTGTCGTCTCTTCTGTTGTGCTATTTTCTGTCTATCTTGCTTATTTAACTAACTAGATCACACTCATGAACATCTAATTTTCAAGAAATGCTGGAATAGCTACTCGTTGCGGCATTACACTTCAGATATTACTCACGTTTCAGCATTAGTTCATTTTCAATTCCTGACTACCGCTTGTTTCCTTGAGGAGGAGATGAAGGCAATGCGAACATGCGAAACAGGTATTCATTATTGACTAAATCGTAAGTTGCTATACTATACATGACCCAATTTACAAGTTCGAAACCCGGCAGTTGCCAAACGTCAAACAAATGCAAATTAGCTTTCATGTGTTAGTAAAGTGCATTCGTGCGAACATGCAAAGCACGGGTGCATGGGCACAATACGTCGTGTACATGTCTACATAGACAAGTCCATGCAACTATGTACTGAACCACTTCATGCAGGCTAACAGGCTGTCCAATGCGTGTATGTGCTTGTATAATCATCGACGAACTAATGAGCAGGTGAACAATTGTCTCCAACGAAACATCGGCAGAACCAGCTTGAATGCAGACGCATCTAGACAACATGCGAATATCAAAAAGCCTGGCAGGGCCAGATGCTGGGACGGCCGAAGCTAGCCATTTTGTGCGACTCCCACTTCAGAAGCCCTGCAGCGTTAGCATTGAGGCTACGGAACGGCCCCCCGAGGTGCTCAGCGACCTGTCCCTGGCTCGGGAGCTGCAGCTGAGCGCCGCGGAGGCCTCGAAGGAGCGACCCCCAGAGTTAGGGCTTCATGTCACGTTCTTTCTGCCCTTTCTGCCCGTGGCTCAGGAGGCATCGCAGCTCAGTGCTGAGCACTTAGAGGCCGGCGCGTCGAAACGTTCCTCCGGGTCTGGGGGTCTCCATGGCAGCTGCTCTCGAGGAGATGAACCGGGCGCTAGACGAATACATCCTGAGGCATGCGCTTGTGAACCGGCCTACCGGGATCGGTTTTGACTTGCTGCAATCGGCTGGGGCTTGGATCATATCTCTGAATGAGCTCCTGCCAGGCAAATGTGCTTCAAGAGTGAGATTGTGGATGAAATTGCACGTCTCCACGAGGAGCGGCTGGGGGTTTGCTTGAGAGCGGCGTTGCCGCTACAGTCAGTGTCGCTTCCAGGACTCTGCCTACGCGATCTTGGGCGTTTCCTCCAGTGCGACTGATGCCGAGATCAAGAAGGCCCTCTCACACCCCGTCCTAGGCCTTGCCTGCATACTCATTACATGATTATATGATGTACCTTGAAGCGCTGAATTCTACCGCTCATGGCCCCAATCCCATGGCCGTCAGAATGGCCTTTCGTGTTTTTTTTCCCCTAATCCTTCGCCAGCGCCCGCAGGCCTACCGACTCATCGCCATGCAGTGCCACCCTGACAAGGGCGGCGACAAAGAGGATTTCCAGGCCTGCTTCTCCTTCAGCAGCCTACTTTTTCTGAGGCTTTGAGGTGTTTGGACTTTGCAACATGAAGCTTGAAGCGACGTCAAATGCCTTGTCGAGTTGATGAGGCAGGTTGTTGTAGCGACAGAGGGTCCGGGGACTGGCACAGGAATTGACCAACGCCTACGAAAAAATCATGGAGCAGCGACGCTCGGCCGACGACAGGGGCTTCAAGGAACCCTGAGAGTTTAATTTTTAAAGCCGAAGTCGAGTTACTTCGCCGCCAGGAGCACGGCCACGAAAACAGCGAGGGCGAGGACAAAGCGCAGAGTGGCGGAAAGCTCCCGTCGCGTCTTTTTCCTGCGCTGCGAGGAGCCCACACCGGTTCACGGCAAGAGCCAAGCGAAGCCACGGAAGAAGGTGCACGATGCGAAAAAGCTCTCCGCACCACCGCAGCTCTGCACACTTCTTTTGGCGGCTCTGACAGGAGAGTTCCACTTGCACCTCCGAGGCGCTCCGGTTTTCTTGAGGCACTCTTATATAGGCTCTTCGGCTCTCCTGCAGTACTTCAGGATGAGGAGGACGGCCCGGCAGACAAGGCAAGACATTCGTGGTTCGGCCAGCCGCCACTAGGCTCTTAGGGCGTCTCTGTGCCGTCAGGCCGATGGTGACACGGCCAGAGAAGCAAAAAGAGCTGCCCAGGAGGGTGGAGAAAGTTCATCTAGAGCTCAGTCTTCGCATCATGCAAATTTTCTTGGAGGGTTTTGTGAAGCTTGAGTCTTCAGTGGCTGATTATCGTGAGGAGGATACAACGCTCCTGGAGAAGGCCAGCAAGGCAAGGCACGGACTGAATACAAAATTTCGCTCCGTTGTCCCTACAACCGAAGAGTGGAATGCATCATAGCAAGGAGGAGCGTGTAGCGTCGACAGGCCGCGGAGGAAGCCTCCCGCTATGCCAAGACGGCAGCCGAATTTGCGCATCAGGTGCGCTTGTGCGAGCCTAGCGGCCCTAATTACCAATGCAGGCTTATCCCCACCATTGTAGGGCCCCTACATACCGCTCGCTTGAAGAAACCTGCACATGGGACTGGGAGAATGGACGACTCAAGCAGGGCACAAAAGCACAGGTCTAGCAAGACAGCTTGAAGATGAGATCCCAAACAGCAGAGCTGTACGAGAACCAAGGGTTCGAAGATGACCGTTCGGAAGGCATGGGACACGAATGCTCCAACGATTGTCTCCCATTGCTGCTATGCCTGCGTAATCCTCCAAGTGTCGACCCGTCTGTAGAGTAGAGACGCAGTCTTGAGATCTGTTTGTGCGAGATTTCCCATGTTACAGTGTTACACTAGCAGCATGCACTGTGCTAAACACGACCAAGAGCAACGGTTGCATCGTTGTTCTCTCGGTGCAACCGTTTGCTGCATCAAGTGAAGGCAGCAGAGGCTGCAGAAGCTGCGCGACGGGACCAGGCGTGCCGTGCTTTCGTCGTTTTTACCGTGCCCGCCAAGATGTGACATTTGAGATTCTGAAGGAGCAGGGAGGTCGCGAGACTCTGATCAAGTCAGTCCGATGCCCTGCACAGTGCACATGCCACTGCCAACGCGATACGTCGCCACAAAGCGTTGAGCTGTGGCCCAAAATCAGATGTAGTCCCAGGTAGCTCACTCAGCCATCGTCTACACCCTCACGGTGGTCAAGGCCACGGAGTTCCGCCTTAGCTGCAGTTACAGCTGTAGCGATGCAATGGCATGTCAAGCCCTTGAGGGCTCATCGCGTAGTATCGGTTCTTATTCTTTCCTCCAACCTGAGTTCTTGGAGCCGTGCGGCACATTGCGTACGAGCTGTTCCAAAAACAAGCATGCATCAACAGCCGAAAGGGGACTCATCTTCCTGGCACGACCACATAGTGATCCTGAGTGCTGATGCAACTTTCTAAGGCGGCCAGCAGTCGCTGCGGTGTTTGAGAAAGGGACTCATGCTGCAATGTTAGAGAAGGCTGTCCGTGCCGTCGGCTATGCCACTCTGGATGTGGCGGCGCAGTGCCGTGCAGCCGCCAAGTCCGAGCCTCAGAAGTCCAAGCAGAGTGGGCCCGCTGAGAAGATTTCAGAAGTCCGAAATTCAGAGGATTCGCGCTCAGGCGAAACCCTGACGCCGTCAGCTGCGCAGAGCATGCGGTAAGCGCAGCGAGCTCAGCTCTTTAAACCGGGCAGCGTGGACCCCCCTTGACCGGAAGAGCCTAAGGCAATGAGCCTTGGCCTGGAGGCCCTGAACTCGGCGCTCTCCTGTGCAGAGGCGCGGAGGGCCTCGCCCATGCGAAATCTCGGATGCTAGGATCTTGAAGCTGGATACTTCAACTCGCGGATCTCCGCAGGTTGTCTATCAACAGCTTAGACAGGGAGTTACGACGGTTTGAATGCCCTGGGATGAATGCCTTGGGATCATGTGACTCAGGGTTTATATTCGGGTATCGGTGAGTGTATGTGGGGGTCTTCAGATGAGTCGATATTTGGCATCCGCTTTCGGCGATTCTGGTTATTTCGTATTGCTTCACGCGGACAGGTGACGGAAATCACGGCTGCGGAGCTGCAGGCCGGGTGAGGATGAAGTGGCGGAAACACGAATCCGTGGTCCTGACCCGAGTACAGTACCCTGAACTCTGAACACCCCTACCCCATTGGCTCAAGTGCTCAGATTTGCCGTTGTTCCCCAGCCACTCGCCTTGTCGAGCCATGGCTCTCTTCTGGGTGTGCGCATTTGCTGCTGCGCTTGCGTCAGCAGCCGAGGAGCAGCCGCAGCTCCGGCTCCGAGGAAGCAACGCAACTTTTCTCACCTCGGCCGTGAAGAAGGCCTCCTCTTCGGCACACCTTGCGTGGATGCCAGACTTGTCGTTCTGCCTCTCTAGCGATGGAAACCGCATCAGCAATGGTGTCAAGGTGCAACTCTGGCAGTGTGATAACAAGTTTCACAGCACCGGGCAGAACTTCTTCCTGGATGACTCTGGGCGAATCAGGATGCATCTTAATCCAGACTATTGCCTCGTGATCGACGGCGACAAGTACGAGAACGGAGCGAAAATTCAGCTGTGGAAATGCAACGACGGCAACAAGCACCAGACCTGGTACTTCAATGATGCCGGACAGATCCAGACCCGGAACTCCCCGACACAGATGTGCTTGGTGATCGACAGCAACCAGGCCTTCAATGGGGCGAAGATCCAGCTGTGGTCTTGCCAGCGGCCTTCTGACAAGCTCCAGGACTGGGTGAAAATCGCCTTGAACCCTTCCGGGTCTCGGGCCTACGCGCTCCCCGACGAGGACAGGGCGTGCAAGTTTCCTTTCGAGCCCGTGGCCTTAGACACAGCCGCCTGTGTGGAGGCCGCTGAGGCAATCCGCCCAGGACAGGGATGTCACTGGGGAGGTGGCTGGGCAGACGTCGTCTCCGAAGTGAGCTACTCTGACTGGCCTCAGGGATGCTACTTTTATGCCGCGTGCCAGGGCGGCTGCTCTCTTGGATTCAACCCCACTGGCCAGGGCAGCAGCTGTCCGACACAGGGTGAGTGCATGAGCATCAGCATGATCTGCCAGATGTCGCTGCAATGACGAATGGAGGAGTTCATCCCCGCTATTCTGATTGCACTACAAGTTTTGGGATTTCCTGTACAGACATGCCGGTGGCAAGGATCACCGAAGCGGGTGTAGACTGCAGCAGAGATAAATGCTGCAAGTTGCATAAGTAACTCGCTGTAAAGCCGGCTTTAGCTTCTTTTGACAACATGGCAGAGATTCTTAATTAAAAGAAAAAGAGCGTTCTTCGTCTTGGCTGATGTGCTCTTCGGTTGCGTTGAGGTGGGTAAGCAGGCATCCCATCTAGAAGCGAGCCTTGCGGTTGGTAGGCTCAACCTAACCCCCAACCCCGCCAACCCCCCGCCCAACCCGGAGACCCTGAGATGGCCTTCGACGTGCGAGGCACCGCAGGGCGATGGCCGCTCCGCCGAGCGATTTGCAGGCTTCTCGCGTCCTATGTGGGACAGGATGGTGGTGCTTCTTTTATTTCTTTTCCACTACAGTCATTTTTGTATTCTTTCTATTATGATGCAACCAGTGGACTAGGGTTACACACCGAGCCCCAAGCTCTGTCTATCAGTCTATCTATCAGCCCGAAAGACCCAACCCTCAGCCCTACATACCAACGCACCAAGGTTTGCAGAAAGCAGAAGTTTCCCTTGCTTGGGGCTGGAAGTTCAGACAGCTCGGTGAGATGCATAGAACTAAGGGCTGGAAGCCTTCAGCTAGAGTGTTTTGTGGACCCTGCACTTCTGAGCAGACATGACTCCTCCACGCGCACCCATATTCGTGCAGTGGGAAAGCGGGGCTTTGAAGGTTGGTGCATTTGGTGCTCCTTTCGAACTGAACCTCCAAACCGCGAAAGCGCACAAAATCCTTTCCCTCGTGAGAACATGCAGGCGCGGCAGTACGCGCATCTCTAGCTGCGGCGGGGGCCTCCAACGTCGCCATGCCGGGCACCTACGTCATTGCTTCAGGTTGTCATGGGACGGTTGGGAACCAAGCTGAGAACGGTGTCCTGATGTGAGTGTTTGAACCCATACTGTACCTCCTGAACAGCCTGCATGCGCTACAGAACTAACTATCATGTCATGCATGCACCATGAGTAGCAGAATCAACAGGTTCCGTAGATGTAGATGTGAGGCAAACTCTGAGCTGTGCTGCTGTTGGCTCTGAGCGTGTTCACATCCCATTACACAGCCCAGGCTACCAGCGTGAAAGGAGTAACCGGTAACTATATCACATCTCGACAAAGGGGGCTTCGACCTGATCCCTCCTTCGAGCTAATGTCGACATGGGGGATCAAGAGCCGTCTGCAGACTTCCATGACCCATCACTAGAGGACACCTCGGACTCCACGGAGTCTTCCTCCAACGCTTCATCCATGCCGTCTCTTCTTCAAGAGGCTCGACGCTCCCTGCGAGTTTTAGCCGCCAAGCTGGTTGTCATCGACCACCCGCCGCATGAGCAGAAGGATCTTTTAGTGGGCATCTCGTGCTTGGCGCTGGCAACACCGGCGATTCCGGCATACTGTGCCGGAGACTTGCGCACTGTTCTCCTCACCGTAGGCATGACCATCACGTCACTGAACGCAGACTATCTTTATCTCGGCACTGTCTGGAACGTCATCGATCGTTGGTGTGCCCTTGGCTATTCGTTTTACTTGTACTGGTTGGCCTTTCCGCATTTGCCACTGCTGTCCACCTTGAATGTCATTCCTCTGGTCGGTTTTCTTGGTTACTCGAGGACGGGATCGGTGCTTCCTTAAAGAGGGCCCCTGCTTGAAGGGATGCCAGCACCCAAGCTCCTCGTCCCAGATGATCGTCCAGTCCAGTCCCTGCAGAGGAGCTCTTCGACAAAGGAGGAATGGTCCTTTCGGCATTCCCTTTGGCACCTCTTCCTGGCTGTGGACATGCCCTTCTTCCTCGTGCATCTGGACTGACACCAGTGATTTAAGTTTCAAGCAGGGCCGTTGAAGTGTCCGAGTTTTGAGTTTCGTGATGGATTGCACGTGCTAGTTGTGCAGGCCCTCCCCCCCCTTTTGCCATGTTTCTGTGCACGGCCGGAACCTGTGACCCAAGTCGAGGTTCGGGGCATACTCCGATCACTTCTTCAGGCAGAGCCAGGATTGAGGCGGCTTCACGCTCCACGGGCTTGGAGATGATCTGGAGGGTGATCGTATGTGTGATTCGAGTTGGTTGCTGAATCGTTTCACATGCCTGTGAACAAGAGGTTCTAGGATACGGTCTTTTATTCTTTCGTTTGTCGTTTGTAAAATATGTGGATTCTAATTCCAGCCTCGCTGGTTAGCAGTTGCCAAGGGCTGTTTGAAACAGCCCGAGTCAGGCATGACCAGCTGCGGCCACGAAGCAATAAAAAGTGTCGGCAACTGGGTCAAGCCCGTCCCATGGCTAGGGCTCTGCGGATGAAAGTGATTTGGATCGACCAGGGGTCGCCTTGCCGCAACAGCACTTATCAGCATCTCCTCTGCATCCTGGACGTGTTCCGATTCCCAGGTCATCTGCCATTGCAGCGGTGGAGGGCAGCCGACAGTGCGCCAAGGTTTGTGGAAGCCTGCCAGATCTCATGTCATTACATTATAGTCATCATTAGTCTGGGTGGGATAGGAAGCTTGTGTCCCGACACAAGTCGTCTGCTTTGAAATATGACCGTGCTCCTGAACCGATACACAGACCTCGACAGCGATACCTGTCCTGCGTACTTTGGACAGGCCCTGGAAAAATCAGACAAAGCCGGACAGGCTCCTTGCAAAGTTTCACCGTCTTCAGACCCTTGTGATGATGTTCTAGGATCATGTGGATGGATCTGGGACTGTTCGAGGGGGTTTGCTGCATGCTCGCTGGCAAATGCTGGACGAAGGCAGACCTGGATCCGGGGGCGGACGAGGTCGGATGACTGTACCGGCGCATCATGCACTCCACGAGTGCTGTGGCATTCTATCCAATAATCCAACAGGAGATGGCCGTTCTTGGTTCAAAATGGGCTAGTTTGCAAGGCGACGGAGGCGGGCGAGGCGTGCGACGAGACGGAGGCGCTGCGTAAACCCTTGTGTCCCAAAGCTGGTGTTGAGTCCCAACCGAACAGCTTCACAAATCCAGAAACTGCAGCATTCGCCTCGGTGCTTGTTGTGCCTCCCTTGCGCAGAGCAGCGGCTCGGAGCCCGACGCGCCTCCGACACCAAAGCAGGCGTGGCAGATGAGGGTGGATCGGAGGTGGTGTCTGGGATCGGTCCTGGTCCTGGGTCCGGGGTGGTGCAAAAAACTCGCAGATGATGACACCCGAAGAAACATCATGAAACCAGCGGAGTGAAGGCGGCCAATGCAGCGCTGCAGCACAGGCCTCTGAAGCGCGAAAGGTAGAAGGTGGACGCCTGCACTTGCTTCAGTGCCGGTGCTCGGTTTGGCCAAGGCGGCTCGTTGCTCAGAGAAACAACAACCACAAGGCCGCCTGAAGTGTCCACACCATTTTGTACATGACCCGGGGTGAGTGAAGCACAGATGTTGTCCGGAGGTTCTACAAAGGTTGAATGCCGAGATCCTGGGCCACCAGCGGAATGCGCCCTGATTGACAGCACTACAACTTCCACAGTCGTCAAAACTCCTACTCACATGGCAGTCATGCTCTGCTTGCATGGGAGCCTTGGGATTTTGTGCAGCATTTGGCCGGAGCTCAAGACTGCTGCCCTTGGTCCTGGGCTTCCGTGTAGCGGACTAGGTTCGTCCTCTGTTTGAAAATAGTTGGGCGGCGATGGCAGCTCCGCATCCCGTCCGCAAGGAGGCGTGAGCAGGAGCTTGATGAACCGGTGTGATCTGGACAGGGGGGAGAGCGAAGTCTTTCTTTCCAGAGAGCTCCACGCCGTGACCACAGACTCAGCATCCAGGCCAGCAGAGATCAGCAGAGTGTGCACACGCATGACCAACAAGAGCCATCAAGGCTGACCTGCAAGTTCCTCCTTGTCAGCTTTCCTGCGTCTGCTGAGCCTGATCAAGTCGGATCCCTTTTTGGAGGAGCCGTGTGTCGATTCGATTGGCCGCTTTGGGCTGCATCGGCGCCCTCGCCTGCTCTCTGGCCGTGCTCGGCCACTTCAGGCCATGGCCGTCTCTGACTGGGTCGAAGGAGGAGCAAACATGCTTTCGCAACAACGTGTAACAGCAGCAGCAATCATCGAGGTGGTAATGTGGAAAACTTTAAAATTTCCCTTATGGTTTCTATAGTGGTACCTATTCATAAATACTTTTCCGGGCCCCAAGACTACAACCCAGTCATGATGTTTATGTATCAAGAAGACATCGACAGCCGCACTTCTGTCGTAGTGGCTTGTGCGATGCCATTCCCTGCAAACAGAAGCTCGCTTCCACGGGCCGGACTTCTACTTCGCGGAACCGGCCTTATGCGAGGCAAGCACATGCGTACGTAAACCCAGATGCAACTTTGTAGAAATTCTGGCATTCCTGTCCAAAGCAGGTTACGAGGACGACTGCTTCAAATTTGGCATGTACTATGCGGGACCTGCCTTTTGGACGGCATGGGGAGCGAGAGTTCCGAATTCATTTGCTGTTGGGTCTGTCCAGGCCAGGCTGCCATCACTGCCACGAACAGTGCAGCCAGATGCGCAGGCATGCCAGGCCACCGGCAGAATTGCACATCTCTTTAAATACTGAGCAATTCTGCGCCGACAGCAGATTTGTGGCAGGCCGAATGTATGATGCAGATGGGTGCCTGGCCATAATGTTCAACCAGAGTCGTGGCGCTTAGTCTTTTTGTAGCCATGTCGGGCAGGTTGTCAGTATTTTACCTTCTGGCCGGATGGCGGCTGCCTGCTTACCGGCTGGGGTGCAACATTGAAGGCCGCCTTTGTTGTTGTGCGTAGCTGCAGTGTGCGAATGTTCGGTGGCATGAGCTGCATGAGGCGGGACGTACTTATCCCTGCCATGCCTTCTCCTCCAGGCGACTCCAACCCGCTTCGCTCAGACCGTCACGGGGCCAAAGGAATGCCCCCTGACGCGTCCCACCGTCAGAGGCTCAGCGTCTCCAGGTTGGGGTGTTTGCTTTCCTTGCAGGGCTCGGCATGAGCGTGCCTCGATGCTTCCATGTGCCAGCCGCCAGCCAGTGGTGTCCAAGGACAGTAGAACAGCCGGCCAAGCACAGAAGCACAACACACCTTGTTCAACTCCAAAGAAGCATGGTCTTGCATGCTCTTTTTGTTCGAAGTTATTCCGAGCATCTCTCAGCAGCCACATCACCTGTCATCAAGTCTCAGCTTCTGGTACCCTCGGGCCGCCATGAGCGAGACTGGAGTAGTGAAGTTCTTTAACTCCGTGGATAGCTACGGTTTCATCCGCCTCGGCGGGCGGCGCTGGGGCGCTGCGAAGGGTTCGGACGTTTACGTGCACAGAAGCGCTATCGCAGATGGCCGGAGTTTACTGAAGGGAGACACGGTTAGCTTTGACGTCTGGGCCTGAGCTGTGCTGCCAGTGTGACACAGTGGTGTTGTTGCACTGCTGAAGCCGCGAGCTTTGCTCGCCTGCTAGGTGATCGAAGAAGATGGGCGCAAGACGGCACTGCGGGTTACCGGTGGCACGGGAGGCTTGGGGCTGACGGTGGCAAGCAACGTGGACCGATCGCCGAGGAAAGCCTTGCCTCTCGGCCTGTAGGCAGTGCGGTGCGCTGCTATAGAAAGAGTGCGTGCGTCGGTTGTGGAAGCTCAGGCTTGGCATGGTGAAGAAGTCCTTTCCCAAGGGATATGGCTTCATAAAGCCAGATGAGGGTGGGTCTGACCTATTCTTCCACCAGAATGCCTTAGCTGAAGAAGGCCGACGCCGAGTCACGACGGACACATACTCGTACCGTAGCAGCAGTCACTGGCACGAACATGTGTTTTGGGCTTCAGGCGAGATGCCTGCGGTCGGAACTCGGGTACGCTACGACTGCATTTGGGACGAGAAGAGGGGTTGCCGCAAAGCATCCAACGTGGTCCCGGAGGTGCTGGAGGCCCGGGCCTCATGTTCGCAGCAAGCGCGAAGGGACATTCTTCGTTCAGGGTTGGCTGAGTCAGATCGTGAGCGTGGGATCCGCGGGAAAGCCAAGCCCCGACATCTACTACATTCATACTTCCTTCCGTTGAAGCAGACACCCTGCTTCCTGTTCACAGACTGTTATCGGCCTTGCATATCAAATTTCGGTGGTTACTAGGAACCTCACTCAGCGTTGTAAAGCCACTTGATTTCGCGATCTATCGCGGGAATGAAGTCAAGGGATGGACCTAAGTAGCCGACCTTGGAGCGACGACTCGATAGACGCACTTGCAATATATTGCAACGGTGAGCCTAGTTGCAGGAAGCTGCCCATCCTCCTGAAGATGACCTAGAGATCAGTGATGCTGATGAGTGGGAGCTTGTGGCCTAGCCTTGCAGTGCAAACCCTTGTGCATCCTTCTAGTATGTGAGCTGGAATCAGCTAGATTTGTGCAGAGACAATGCGGCCCCTTTGTGCAGCGTTTGAAAAGCATTTCGACAATGATCCTCGCACAGCCACGCCAAGGCAGTGCAAGAGGCTTAACAGGCTTAGCGTCCTTCAGAAGTCGAAGTTGTCGTTAAATTCATCGGTCTGCAAAAACTTCACACGACTTCGATCGGATCTCTTGGTTTCACATGGCCAACCGAGACATGGCGCCCATGGGTGTGAGCATGCCCTGTACAGTGTCCAGCAGTCGGCGCAGCGTGTCAAAGACAACATACCTGGGGAATCCTTGCAATGTTGCGACGATCGCTGCATCACACTGCCTCTTTGAGCCTGAGGCTGTAGATGAAGGCCCGGTGCTGGAAGAGTGGGACCCAAGTGTGGACGTCTTTCACTTAGAGGGCTGTGCACGACACCTACTAGGAAACAAAGACAAGTGTTGGATCGAGTGAGGGCGCGCCTGCACCACCGACGCTGCCGCGCGATCCAGAGTTCCAGGCAGTGGGTTGCTGAAGGCTTGGTAGGCTTGAAACCCTCCAGTGCCTTTTGGCAGATCGTGGTAGCTGGGCAGCTGCCTGGGGTCAACGGAACGCACTGCGGCGCATATCTGGCCTGCAGAGCTGTGGCGGGCTGAGCAGCCGAACAAAAACTGTGGGGGGAGAGAGAGAGCGCTTGAGCGATTGCTTAGATTGGTGAGGCGAAGCTGAGCGGTGACTGCTGTCCCAATGCCGTCCTTAAGCTGCACTTGGCCACGAAATGACTTCTTGTCGATTCGGCTTGATTGCTCTATGTCCAACTGTGAGACAGAGTTTGCCGGTACAATCACTCTGCACAGATCGATTCGATTGCGAGGAAGGGGTTCTGCTGGACTGCTGCGGGACAAGCGTGACCAGTGCGGCTGCAGCAGTTGCGCCGCTGTACAAGAAATAGGCACATTGCGGGAGCTGTGGCTGGCGCTGTCGGTGTGCCGTCTCATGATAAAAGTTTCCCTGTCAGCCGGTGAAACGGCTCGAGTCTCAGATGCAGGCAGTACCTTCCCGTATGGGAACCGGATGCCTCCACGTTCGGATTTTGCTGCCCTTGGAGGAGTCAGGCCCGGATGTTTCGTTGCTTTTACTTGGCGACGCTTTCATTTTGCATGGTTGCAGTCGAGCGAGTTGCACAGGATTGGAATACCTCTTTTGGACCCGCGGGTGGACGGTGCCAAGGAAGCGGCAAGTTTTGCCAAGCGGCTTGCTTGCTGTGGCGGCCCGGACAACCGGTGAACAAGTCTGAGTGTTGGTTTTAATCCACTTGCTGCCCGTGATGACACCGTTGGTTCGTGACGAAGTAGCATAGTGCTCGATCTATCTACTGGACCTGTGCCCATTCCTAGTGCCACTCAGTCATCTAGCCGTACCCTTAGTTGCGTCTCGGCAGTGGAAGCCCAAGCCTGACCAGTGGCTGACTTCGGGATTCTACCGTCATCCTTCATGAGAGGGGGCACTTGGCCTCTTCGGTCTTAATCGTGGCATCCTAGTTGTTTCTTGCTCGTCTTGGTACGGTGAAGAATCCCGATGTCAGCTTTGTGTACTCTTTTTCACGGCAGAAGGAAAGGAATCGTTCAATTTGTGCAGTGTGCAGATGTGCGCAGTGTCGGCAAGCGGCGGATCATTCGGGCAGCTTTTTTCTGTCGGCTACCCGGCTTAGCGATCCGGCCGATGCTTGACCTGCTGCCTCGAGCAATAATTGGCGCACAGGCTGGGCGAGAGCGGGTGGGTTCGGCTTCGGTCTCTCTTCGCATCTAGACTTTTTCTGCGAGATTTTGCGAGATTTTGCGAGTCTTTCGCAGCTGCTACTTGCCCTCTGGGTCAGAAGCTCACCCGGCTCAGAGCTCCTCGGAGCTCAATTTTGGTGTTGCAGTCGGGTGCCCTTAATGACCCGCTGACTCAGCACGATGCAAGGGGAGATGAGAGAAGGATCTTTCAGCGCGTGTGGACTGTTCAACACATCTTCATGGCCACCTTTCCTGGAAGCTTCAGATGTTATTGAGTATGAGCAAGATCTTTCTGCTGCGTCGCTTGTGCGGCACGTCATGCCTCTCTGGCATGAGACCAGCATGGGCATCAAGAGGATCCATGTTGGCACTTTGAGCCCAGAAGCGGCGCTGCGTATCGATCATGGGATTGACGGACTAAGAAATTTCTTCTTGAGGCAGGCAGAGGCCTCGAGATGCTTCTGCATCACACAATCTCGGATCATGCGTTGCGATGACATGTACGTGGTCTGGCAAGGTACGCGAATTTCTCTGCCAGAATCGCCAGTTGCAGCCTAAAGCCAGCAGTGCGAGAATACACGGAAGACCTGGTTCGATATACAGATATGATGATGTCGGATTCTTTGCCTCCTGTGCTGAAGGCTCATACCACAAGTGCCTGCAGAGTCGAAGCTGAAGATCTTCCGCTTACTTCGAGCGCTGCCCTCGCTTGTTCGGACAAGTTTTGGCTGCAAAGCGACACTGCAAAACTTGTCTACATTGTTGTTGTTGATACTGCTGCTGCTGCTGCTGCTGCTGCTGCTGCTGCAGCTGCTGCTGCTGCTGCCCGTTACGAGCATTAGTACTCAGCGCTACGACGACGACTTGGACTGCTGCTGCTGCTGCTTCCGCGGCCGCTGCTGCTGCTTCTGGTTAGTATTAGTTTACTAGTATTCAGCACTACGACGACGACTGCTGCTGCTGTTGCTGCTGAGACTTGTAAGCTGATAAGCTGATGATGAACACGATGGTGATAGTGGCTGTGATCCAAGGACTATGCCGTTGAAGCATGGGCCGACCTTAGCGGCGATCATCAGGCACGGCTTTCATTTCACAGACGGTGTCGGATTCGACCATTCCAACCCTGTGCAGAGTACCCGGTGGTTGCTCCTTCAGGATGTTGCTGGTGGACCACAGCTCCTGCAAAAGATGGCGGAGCTGCCATTGCCCCATTCACTCCATCGGGCCTGAAGAGGTTTTACCCCAATTGCCCAGGCCATTGTTGGTTCCGTTCCTGCAGCCTCAAAGCTTGGCCATTCCCGTCAGTGTCAAGGCCCTTGCCTTTGCAATTCTCCTGACTCTTGTCCTGATTCGCGGCAAATGCTGAGAGGCACGAGTACTGAAAATGGCGGCTCTCTACGTGGCTGCCCCAATGAGGTGGTAGGGACTGCGCTTTCCCTTCGATGAGTCTACTCTAGACAGTCCAAGCGGAGCCTCACGGTCCTGGCCACATGGGTAGTTATCTGAATTGGGGTCCCTTCTTGGGTCCTTTTCATAAGGGTGCCGTAGTGTTTTTGGGGCCCAACAGTGGACCCCAGTTTAGAGAACCACACAGTGCCGCCTCAGGACTTGCCCTTGGCAATGCGACTTCTGGATGAAGAGCTGCTTTCACGTGCTCGACACAGCGTGCTCCCCAGCAAGATCAGGCAGCTGCAAAACTGAGAGTGACGAGTCGTAGCGCTTTCTCCCCGATTATCCAGGCCTGGCAGCGCAGCGGGCTTGGATTGGGGATTGGAAGAGGCGAAAGTAAGCTTGGAAGCTGGAGGGCTCGGGGACGTGCGGTTCTCATGAACCCTTGCCGCGGCCCTCCGAGGTCTGCATCTTCATCAGCTCGACTAGACGTGCTCGTCGGCATGTTGGTTCGGTTATGCACAGAATTTAGGTTCGTGGTTCGGTGAACACGTAGTCTGCGAATGGCAACGCTGCAGGCACTAGACCAGAAGCTTCCGTGCCAGGAGCTGACTGAGAAGATCCGCTCGGAGCTGATCAGCAACGCTGAGGAAGAGGCTGCTCCGATTGTGGCAGGCGCGTAGCTCTAAACCAAATCTGGAGGGGAAGCCTCCACGTCCAGAAGCCGGAAGATGAGCAAAGAGCGTTGGACGCCTCAGCAGGTCATCCTGGAGTTCATGACCTTGCAGCTTGGCTTCTGAACTGTCCCCAAAGCCTCCCGACGCTGAAGCCTATGCACCTTGGCCGCAGGCTTTCGGTGTCCCTGCCTCTGCGTGATGAGCCCCGGGCAGGGATATTTGGCTGCAGTGCTCCCGCGCGCGAGAGCACGCCGCCTCCTCTGCCAGGTAAATCTCGAGGGCGTTAATGTCAAGGAGGCGTCTCCTTTAGCTCGTTGATAGTGTAAATTGTTCGCTTGCTTTTTCGGGAGCCGGCAACGTAAGACTCGGGTGTCGTACAGTTCTGCAGTCTGCATGCAGAGGGGATGTTTGGTTGGCCCCCATCCGCAAGCAGGCTCCAAAAGCAAGTCGGAATCGAAGGTCGAGAATTGAAGACTTCTCCAGAGATTTCTCAATGGCGGGCACTTTCGGCAGACTCCCGAACGAACCACGTATTCAGAAAATAGACGTGGGTTCTGGTCGATGTGATGCTGCAAGAACATGTTCCGAACATCTGGCAGCTCTGCCACGGCGAAGACCCGCCAGACCTTTTCGTCAACACTAAGTTGGGTACATCGAAGTTTCAGAAGGGCATTGCTGAGACGCGAGTTTATTCTTGGCTCCAAGTCGTGGGTTCGTGGCCCTGCCCTTAGTCACCGGTTCCTTGCCGTTCATGCAGCAGAAGAAAAGTGTCCGGAATTTGCACGCATGCTCGGCCAAGCTGTGCATAAAATGGTTTGCATCCTCTTAGAAGGAGCAACCTGCCCAAGAAGCGCAGGCACGAACAGATTCGTCTTATTCGGATCTCCCCAAGTTCTTTGAAGGCTAGAGTGAGTGCCTTGGGCAGCCGCTCCCGGAATTGAATTGCATTCGACTCGCTTCGGCGATTTGCTGAATATGCAATGAATTGGCGAGCCTTCGGTCGAGAGCTTGATGGCGGAATCGGCAAAGGCTGAAGCCATCCAATGCCTGAAGCACATGAGCTGGGAAAGATTAGTAAGCTGTCGCACTTTGGGCACGGGTGGCTCTCGAACCCGCCATCAGAGCACCGGTGCGCACGTAGAGCGAGGAGGCAAACAGCTGCTGCACCTGAACTTCCTACATACCTGAACATGCGAGCATAACATCCTGGAAGCTGCCATAAGGATGGTCCCATACTTACGCAACGTACAGAATCAACGGTGATCTTCGGACCAGCTGTTGCAGTGCTCTTGTGTCGCATTACAAGTGCCTTAATGCGTGAAAAAGGATGCTTCGCCTGGGGTCGTGATAATCTCAACTCTCACAAGCTTTCTGAGTGTCGTCTATTTTTACGAAGGTCGTCGCCGCTCCCTCCGCAGGCGCAGAGATGTCTGAGCTACGACTCCACGACCGAGTCCTGAAGCCCCAACCGTGACAACCACCAAAGAGCAGGATAGCGGATGATCTAGCTCGGAGCCGGTATGGCGAAAGGCTCACTGCCAAACTGAACAACCCCGTGCTGTGCATTATCCGGTTCATGCCATGACAAGGCCGTGCGTTCGAAAGGATCATGTGCCACCGAAATGACTGCACATTGCCTGCTGGAAGCTCTGCTGTGAGAGGTGGGCGGCGTCGTGCGGTGGAGGGATGTGGAGGGGAAGGAAAGTCGGCCCACGGCCGGCCGCGGCCCAGCGTCCCTGCAATTGACGCTTCAACAGGCTCGTCTTGCGGGCCCGGGCTCTGACGAGCTTGAAGCCGCTTGGCACTGCCCTGGCACGTGATGAGTGACAAGCGTGGACACGACTGTGCGTGAACACAACCATGACGGGCTGTCAAGCACCACTTCGGCATGCGAACCGCAGAAGGCTTATCACCGAGCGACCAGGCCGGAACCAAATATCTTGATGGAAAATACGGAAGTAGAGTAGCTTCGTGTAGTGCAGTTCAAAGCATTGAGTGGTTGGCCACGCGGACGGCTCGCATTGAATCTGATTCTGCCATTTCCGAGCTCTAGTGCCCGTGCAGCAAACCCGGCGCTTGGGGGCCGTGCAAGTAGTCTAAGCGCACAGCGAAGAAGACCGCTTTTGCGGTTTCCTGCGTGGGCCAATCAATGGCAGGGCCTTACGCTCGACCGCAGCACGCTGCGGGCACAGATGGTCGAACTCGCCTTGCGCCACGTGGCCAGGAAGCCGTCCTGGCTGAAGGCCAGTGTTGCAGCAGCGGCTCGCTCCGACTCCGGCCGCAGGCTTGCGATATTGGACGTTTCTCGGCGACGTTTGGAGGTCTGGCAGGAGGCCCTAGCCCACGGGGGAGCTCTGCTGCGCGGCGGCAGCTGTCACCAAACTGTACCGGCCAACCTCAGCCTTGCGACGGCATCGCCCCTGCACGTTGCTGCCTTACCGGC